CCTGCAGAGCTCTGAGCTCCAGGAGAGCTGGGCACAGAGGGGGGATTGCTCATCCCAACTCCCTGATGGAAGAAATTCCAAAGGGAATCCTGTCATAAAACCAACAGACTGGTTYRGGTTGGAAGGAACCTTAAAGATGAGCTGGTTCCACTACCTATGACACAGGCAGGGACACCTCCCACTGTYCCAGGCTGCTCCCAGCCCCAATGTCCAGCCTGGCCTTGGGCACTGCCAGGGATCCAGGGGCAGCCACAGCTTCTCTGGGCACCCTGTGCCAGGGCCTGCCCACCCTCCTGGGGACAATTTCCTTCCAATGTCCCATCTGTCCCATACTCCCATGCCTTCTGGCAGGGTGAAGCCATTCCCCCTTCCTTAAAGTCCCTCTCCAGCTCTTTCCTAGCCCCTTTAAGTACTAACAGACCCTAAAAGGCCACAATTAGGGTGCCCCAGAGCTTCCTCCTCTCCAGGCTGATCAATCCCAATTCTCTCAGCCTTTCCTCATGGGAGAGGTCCTATTTAGGATCTATCCTCATTAGAGGCTCCATCCCYTTAATCACCTTGCCAGCCCTCTCCTCTGGACTCACTCCCACAGTCACATCCCAGTTATCCCAGAGCAGCACCAGCTCCACTCCAGTGACCCAAAAGGCACACTCAGCCCTCTCCCCCTCAGCAGGAGGGAGGGATTTTCAGTGATGGAGTSTCACTGCTCTTCCTAAGCTGCTGGCTGAGCTCAGCTCTTCACCTTCAGCATGTTTCTTGCACCCTCAAGCCCAGAATTGTGTCCCTTGCAGCCTCCCAGCCTGGCCCCACCATCCCCTGGAACCACAGTGCAAACACACTGAGCTACATCCACGACAAGTTTGGCTGCAATTCAGACCAGGAGCACCAAAAAGCARCAATCACTGGTGGAAGCCCCTTTTGCAGAGCCCCAGCACTGCCCAGCACAGCCTTTCTGCTCAGGGATTGCAGTAACTCATCTCCCTGTCAATAGGGAATATTTTTAAACGCCTTCCTCCCTGCAGGCAGRCAGAAGCCTCCTCTCCTCTTCCCAGGCGGATTCTTTTTTTATTATTATTGTTGTTTTTCCTCTAGATGAGGGGTTTAAATCATCCTGCCTCCTTTTAGGGCGGGGGAACGAGGGCCAGGGGGCAGAAGGCTCGGAATTGCTGGTGGCAGGCAGTCAGGAAGAAGAGCTGGAAGTTTGTGCAAAGTCCAAACTTTGGATCGGGAGCACAAAGCAAAGTCTGTCTGGCCTTTCCTTCCCAGAAACAAACCCGGGCTCCCTCCTCTCGTTCTTCTTGGCAGGCAGCACAGCACATCCTGCAGAGAAGCCTGGAGACTGTTCCAGTGGGTTGGGAGAGCTGAGGAGAGCTCAGCCTGGCCCTGGCTGGATCCCAGCGAGCCTCTGTGTGTTCCCAGCAGGACACTGACGTGCACAGGCATTTGGGAAGCCCACAAGAGTTTCACCAGAGCTTTGTTTGGCTCTTTCCATGCTCTGGGTGTTATTGCCATGCTGCTCTGCTTGTGCAACAGCCCCAGCAAAGGGCACAGGGCTGCTTTGGAGGGGAAGGAGGAGCGGGGCCCCAAAGAGCCACCGAAATCCCATGTTGGATGRGTTAGAAACAGGCAGACAGGATAAACAGGCTCTGCAGCCCAGTGTTCCCTGACAAAAATACAATTTTTTTTTTTTGCCCTCATGCCCACCACTTTGCCAGCACGACTGAGTGTGCTGGGGCTTTCTCCTGGGCTTGCAAACCCAAACCACTGATAAGGAAAACATGCCCTGAGCCGCCTTCGCTGTGGTTGAGAATCCCAAATCCCAGTCCCAGCCATGGGACACCCTCTGCCAGGCAGCTTCATCCCCTGCTGCYARTGATSCCTGATGATTTCTGCCTTTCCTTTTCATGCAACCTTTTATATACTTTTATACATTTCCTGTACTCTTCATGCATCCCCCTGTACCCTTAGCTGCATCTTGTAATTCCTGTAGCCTGATAATATTCCAGCTTCGTTTTGGGGTTCTGCTGAGCAGAGACCAAACATCCTCAGTAAGAGGTCAGTGTGCTCTGTGCTATCTCAAATTTGAGGCTCCAGCCTTGGGTGAAGCCTCCTCTCTGAAACACATTGTGTAAAC